TGAGCCACCGCGCCCGAACGATTGATTTTTAAGAAAGGAAGCCTCACTCTGTCACCCAGGCTGGAGTGCAGTGATGTGATCATAGCTCACTATAGCCTTGACCTCTTGGGCTCAAGCAATCCTCCTCCTCAGTCTCCTGTGCAGCTGGGACTGTAGACATACATCACCATGCCTGGCTAACTTTTTTCACTTTTTGTAAAGAGACAGGGTCTCGTTATCTCGAACCCTGACCTCAGGCAGTCCTCTTTTGGCCTCTCAAAATGTTTGGACTACAGGCATGAGCCATCCATGCTCGGCCATTTTATTTTTTTATTTTTAGCTTTTAAAATTTCACTATAAATAAGCCATACTTATAAAACCAAGTAAAATAAAATAAGTTTGTATGACTTAGAAGTAGAAGAGAAGAGGCAGAGGAGATGAGAGGAGAAGTTGGTTCTAAATTCTTCATCTTACCAATGGAGGCTTAGCGCTCAATTTTCTAGGGTTAACGAAACGTAAGTAGAGATGTAGGCATCTTGCAAGTTGTGGAGAAAGCTAATGGAGACTGTAGGATGAGCTGTATTTGACCATAAGTATCCGGCGAGGAGAACAACCAAGTAGGGCCGGTCGCAGTGGCTCATGCCTATAATCGTAGCGCTTTGGGAGGCCAAAGTGGGCGGATTGCCTGAGGTCAGGAGTTCGAGACCAGGCTGGGCAACACGGTGAAACCCTGTCTCTACTAAAATACAAAAAGTTAGCCGGGTGTGGCGGTGTGCACCTGTAGTCCCAGCTACTCAGGAAGCTGAGGCAGGAGAATTGCTTGTACCTGCAAGGCAGGGGTTGCAGGGAGTTGAGACTACGCCACAGCACTCCAGCCTGGGTGACAGAGTGAGAATCCATCTCCAAAAAAAAAAAAATAAATAAAAACAAAAACAAAAAACAAGACGAGGCTTGGTGTAGTTGAGTAACATTGACGCCTATTGCAGCAGAAACCTAAAGTACTGTTTGAGACTGATAAAGTAAGATATTACAACACTGAAGATAAGAAGGACATTGACAAAAAACAGACCAACTTTCACCCTAAATAACAAGGATGTAGGTATGGACCCAATCACCAGAACTATAAATAGAAACTGTTCAAAGTGGTACCCCTTAGGGATCAAAACTAAGATGAGGCCGGAAAGCACTTCTCCTTATCATAAATCCCTGAGGTGTGCTATTTATTCTTCAAGCAGATTTTATAACATACTGATTCAAAAACAAGTAGTATGATACCAATTTCAGTTTCTACTAATGTCATCCAGTATGGCTTTGTCCTTATTAGGATGAATGAAACTACTTTCTAAACACTAAACATTTCTAAATTCTCTCTGATGCTATTATTTTGACATAAGGGCATACTAATTGCTCCTGAAAAGCCAAACAATTGTTATCTTCTCTAAAAACTGTATTACCTAATCTTGGATGTCAATACTGTTATTTGAAAGATTACATAAGGCAGTTTGGCTAAAACTAAAGAACTGTTACTTCAGTTCCAAAAGCAGGACAAGGAGATTTACAAACACACCTACCACCTCAAAATGGACCCTTTTGCCTATAATTTATGTATTAAATGGATTCAAGTTTTGTTCCCAATGAGATGCTCAATGTTAGTAAACTCATATATTTAAAAAGGGCTCACCATTCGTTGACAAACTTGAATGCCCTTGGAGAAATTTTCCAAAGCTACCAATGCAATGGTACAGTGTTTGCTAACCCACCTGAGCTATTAAGATTTCTTTTCATTGAGCAATCACTCAGAATTTTTTTCTGGTCCACTTTTTTTGACATCATAATATGTTCTTCTCTTTAGTCATATTAAAGAAATTAGAAAATACAGGGCCAGGTGCGGTTGCTCATGCCCATAATTCCAGCACTTTCGGAGGCCAAGGCAGGCAGATCATTTGAGGTCAGGAGTTCAAGACTAGCCTGGCCAACGTCGCAAAACCCCATCTCTATTAAAAAAAAAAATTAAAAAAAAAAATAGTGGGGCATGGTGGTGCACACCTGTGATCCCAGCTACTCAGAAGCTGAAGCACGAGAATCACTAGAACCTGGGATGTAGAGGTTGCAGTGAGCCAAGCTCATGCCACTACACTCCAGCCTGGGCAACAGAGTGAGACTCTGTCTCAAATAATAATAATAATGATAATAATAATAATAATAAAGTAGAAAATACAGCACCATCAAGTGACTGCTTCCAAGTGTAAGTTCTATCTAATGAAACCACATATTGGTCACAACTCCGTGAGTCCAAAGAACAAGTTTTGAAGAAAGGGCTTGTTATTGAATTTAGATTGTATGATATTGGGGTAATTCTCTTTTCACATTAAGTGCTTTGTGGATGTGACTCTGATGGGCGTTATAGGGTCAATAAAATATTAGCCCTTCCTGCCCCCATCGTGGTGCTCAATAAAGGCTGGTCGAATTCAAAGCCCAGCCTCCTCAACCTACTGGTGAATGACATGAAAGAGTTAACACTTTGAAAATTGACATGGCCCTGCAGAATCCCTCCCAGATTTCAGGAAGCACAATTGTAAAGCCCAAACTGCCAAGCACAGCTTTCCTAAACCTTAGTAATGGAGGCCTTTTGTGCAGATCTGGAAGATTAGATAGTTTATAAGTATGATATAGATTCTGTGGCCAAATGAGCTGCAGAACAATTCTAAAGCCATTATTCCTCTTTCTAAATAATTCTTCCCTTTGAAAGAGTTAAGTCATTTTGCTTGGAAAAATTAACCATTTAACCATTAATCATTAATTTTATGTAATTTTTCTTAACTGATTAAAAATACTGATTTTATTGTTTTTCTAAGTCTTTGCCTTAAGTGTAAGAAAAAAAATGGATTAAAGTACTAAGTGTGACTAGCCAGATATTTTTAAAAATTGGTTTAATGCCTTTTACTGAGTTGGGAAAAAAAAAAAAAAAACTTAGTAAAAGCCTTAGAAAAGTTCATAGCTAAAACTGAAACAAGCCCAAGAAGTGACTATATTTGCATAACTTGATCTGTACTTGGAAAAAAATTCCACTGAAGACAACAGTGGAAGCTTATCAAATCAGAATTTTACATAGATTTTCCATAGCCCTACTAAAGAATACTGACTCATTGGTCAGTTATGGTGAAAATTTAATGGAGCGCTAAGAAATGCATGAATCAGAGTGTGTTTAGCGGTTCCATTGCTTCAGTATGAAAACTACATTAGGCATCCAGCTTCCCTAACGCTTTCTGAGACCAATTCTAGAGCACGGTAGTAATTAATTCTTCAACATTTCATGTGGAGCCAGACCCTGCCACTGAATTAAAACCCCTTTTATTTTGCCCCAGTCATGAAAATCTCAGACATTATGTAAAATTAGGATTATTGGCTGCTTAGCTGGTTTTATATTTTTCAAGATGGCAGTTAACCTGCAACTGAATCTTTTCTAAGAAAACGATCTTCTATAGGATGAATTCTAAGGCAGAACTGAAGGTACCAGTAATACTACTTAGTGAAGTTGAATCTGTAGAGGGTTAATTACTGTCTACAACTCAGAAAAGTATTATACATCAGAGGGTAAAAGTCTGAGGCAAGTCTGATTTAAAGCAGGGTCCTAGTTTTACTCCTAAATCCTAAGAATTTCATATTCTATTAGTAATGTGTATGCTTTTGCTTCATGAAATTTCACCTTCTACAATTGGTTCAAAGTGCCAGCTAATTTTTCAGATATATTCCCTGTTTCAAAACAGACTGAAACTGATAGATTGCACAGTTATAAATTATTTAAATGCTTATCTTTTGAAGTAATGCTGAAAAAATTAAGATCTGCTTTGCCCTCTTCATGAGAAATGATTGCTTATTAAATCGCCTCTCGATTTCTATAAAGATTAGCCAGGCTTTCAGGTTTCTTCTCAGCGTTACGCATTTCTTTTCACCCAATTTCAAATTCTTTCTTATCCTACATTTTCGAAAAGTACACATAAGCTAGAAAATTTGAAAAATACAGAGAATAACGAACTTCATGCATATGTTTTCTTGTTTTAAAAAAATCTATTTAGCCTTTATATTCTATAAGGTAATTTCCAGTTATAGAAATATACTAATCACTGGTTCTATCTATCCATCCATCCTTTCATCTGACACACTAATAGTGATAACAATAATGAATAATAATCATATTAATAAGCAGAGGGCATTCATAAAATATTTACTTTTGTTTCAGAAACTCTGTTGAAAGCTTTACATAGGCTATGTCATTTATTCCTCCCAATGATGTATATAAATATCCCCATTTAACAAATGAGAAAGCTGAGGCACAGAGGAGATCATAACTTGATCAATGTCAAAATGAGTGACTGGCAATCCAATTAGTTTAATGCCAGAGACCATGATTTTCTACTCTGGTGGCAATCATGCGTTCTTACAATCATCTATTCTACCCTTTACATATATTTGTAAAACTACCTAGTTATTTCAATTTGGATTGAGTTTTTGGACTGCCAGCTCTCAATATCCATACATCTTCATGACACTAGTTTGTCTTAGACATTCTTCCTAGCACTAACTTCAAACTATGACTAAGATGATCAGATAACCTTTTAACCAAATCAGGACATTTCTGATAGTGAAAAGGGCTGAGTTGGTAAGTGTGCTGGTTCATACTTACTAAGTCCCAGGTGTGAACTGGAACCACCCAGGCACAGGAGTACATGGAATCATTCTAACAGGCCACTAGGATATCCTTTCTCTGTTCCTAGTGCAGAACATAGGTCCTCTGAGGGCAAAACCAGGTATATAGTTCAATGACCCCATGATACCTCCTTTATTTTTCTCAGGATATGTTTTCTGGACAATTATTTTTCTTCTTTGTTATAGAGTAGAAAATTTAATAAGCAACCTAAGAAGAATAAAATATTCTAATATTCCTTTAGAGCTGATTAGCTATGAACACAGAGGCACATTCATTTATCACAGTTATAGTACAAGTATAAAATGACCTGTACCTTTAATAAGTCCTTTCTCTTGCAGAGTTTTCAGGGAAGGTCTTCGGGTAATAAACTTCTTTAATCTGCTTTTAACTCGATTTTTGTCGCTTGTATCGGAAGCACTATGATGCAGTCTGAACACTGAAGATTTAAAAAAAATCAGAGGCTTTCAGTAAATTTCTCCTTTATGATTATTACTTTATGCAAATCTGACTAGAAAACAGTAGTTATGAAACAACTACCTGAATTAATAGCTCGGGCTCTTCTGTCTAGAACAAGTCATGTGAGTAAAATTTGCCCACATGAAAGTATTAGTCCTGTTACAGCATGAATGTACAATGAGAATGGGATTAGTTCCATATATTCACAATTTATTTTCACTTTCATTTCCTTATATTTAACGTAACCTTTACATGGATAATTCCATGTGTTTATACACAAAATTATGGTTAGAGTAAGGGAAAAATTCATCTAAGCTACAGGAGACAACTCTTTAGCATTGCCGATTTCAATTAAACAGGATTATATACTATCCTTAGCTTATGCAGGCATTTCTGAAGGTCCTGCTTGCTTGAATAACTTTGTCAATCTTCTTTTCTATATTAACCTGAAGTGATTTATTTTTCTGAAGCAGATATTTCTTACTCTCCTTATTGATATATAATTACTACCAGTTCTAGGTGAAATTCAGAAACATAATTTGCCTCAAACTTTTTCCATGTCTTCATTAGTCCCCTCTCCTCTGCTTCCTATTCTCAGATTTATCTTCAAAGTCAGGTGTGTAAAATTCATTCCTGAACAAATATTTGCTGAATGTCTAATAATCAGGCTTCATGCTAAAGGCTGTGAATTCAGGGATGAATATCATACATAAGGTCTGGGTTTTCATTAAGCACAGTCTAAACACATTAAAGATGTCTTCTTCCTCTTCTTCTCCTTATTTTTAGACAGATTCTTGCTCTGTCACCCAAACTAGAGAGTAGTGGAGTGATCACAGCTCACTGCAGCCTCAGCCTCTCAGGCTTATATGATCCTCCCACCCCAGCCTCCCAAGTAGCTGGGACTACTGGCTACACCTGACTAATTTTTTTGGTTTTATTTATTTATTTATTTATTTATTTATTTATTTATTTATTTTTCCTGGTAGAAATGGGATCTCACTTTGTTGCTCAGGCTGGTCTCGAACTCCTGGGCTAAAGTGAGCTGCTCACTTCAGCCTCCCAAAATGCCAGGATTACAGGTGTGAGCCACTGCACGTGGCCCAAGGTGTCTTATTATTAGTTACAGATAGTAATTTGTTGTGCCTGTAGATAAGATACATATCTTAACTGAACGCTCCACTGCCTTCATTCAACTGTTGACAGAATATGAGGGTTTGGGGTACTTCATTAAGTATTCTTTTTAATAAATGTAGACATGCTTTTGAAAATCTATCTGGTCCAGGGAGAGAGAAACCTCCCTATAACTGGCAAAGTAAGGCAATTTTTGCATCCTCCTTTCCCTGCCTTTGACTACAAAGCAGGCTCAAACTTGAGTTAGTAAAATGGGGAATTAAGGTGAAGTTCAAGACTGAGAATGACAGAAAAAGAAAAATATCGTGCTCATCTCCTAGCTGGGAGAAGGGTGGAATTTTATTTTTCAATCAAAGTTTGGATCATCACATGAGATTAGGTGCTGTAAATTACTAAACTGAGACAATTCTTGCCACTTGAAAATCTGTAATACTTTATATTACTTTAAAGTATTGCTTCCCAAATTTTGTACTATTGACATATGAGGGTAGACAATTCTTTGTTGTAGAGGCCTGTCCTTTGTGTAGGATATGGAACAGCATCCATGGTGTCTACCCACAATATGCCAGCAGCACGCCCTCCTTAATTATGACAATAAAAAAAAATGTCTCCAGACATTGCCATAGGTCCATGAGGGTGGAAGTTGGGGTACAGAATTACTTCCTGTTGATGATGATTCCCTTAAACTGATTGGAAACGTTATAGGGTCATCTGAAGTTCTCATTTATCAGTGGAAGATCTATCCATACACTGAGAAAATGTAAAAGAACTCTGAAAAAAAATCTATATATCTATAGCATATCTACCATCTATGTATTTGTCATGAGCTATCTATTTTTTAAATGAATTGGTAATAAAAGGTGGACAGCTTCCCAGCTATTGGGCTCTTAAGAATGGACACAGGAGGAGGAACACCACACACCAGGGCCTGTCTGGGGTTGGGGGGAAGGGGAGGGAGAGCATTAGGACAAATACTTAATGCATATGGGACTTAAAACCTACATGACGGGTTGATAGTTGCAGCAAACCACCATGGCACATGTATACCTATGTAACAAACCTGCACACTCTGCACATGTATCCTGGAACTTAAAATTTTTTTAAAAAATTAAAGTAAATTTTAAAAAATGGGTTCTATAGGTGTGAGAGTTAACAGATGCCCTCAGCTCTCAGGGTAATTTAGGGAGGACCAAAATAGCCCGAGTCCTTGGGGCAGTTGTACTGTATATTCTTTGGCTATAAGCAGTTTCCACCGGTGTGTTATGCAAGTATGATTGTCTCTGTGTAGTTCAATAGTTTGAAAAGTACCGCTTTAGATTTGTGCTGTCCAGAGTATTAGCCACTAGTCAGTTGGGGCTATTGAAAACGTGACATGCAGCTTGAGCCATTGGTTGAAATGATAATTTTTACATGTTTTCAGCTAAATAAAATATCTTGCTATTATTTAAATAGTTTCTTTTTACTTCTTAAAATGTGGCTACTAGAAGATTTTACATTACACACATTTCATGTTGGACAGTGCTGGAAGATAAAAAATAAACACAAATTGACCAGTGCTGGGTTTAATTGTTGTAGATAAAATGTATATGGCCTGTGTAATTATTTATTTTTTACTTATTTTAATTTAATTTAATTTATTTATTTTGAGATGGAGTCTCGCTCTGTCCCCCAGGCTGGAGTGCAGTGGCCAGATCTCAGCTCACTGCAAGCTCCGCCTCTCGGGTTCAAGCCATTCTCCTGCCTCAGCCTCCCGAGTATCTGGGACTACAGGCGCCCGCCACCTCGCCCGGCTAGTTTTTTGTACTTTTTAGTAGAGACGGGGTTTCATCGTGTTAGCCAGGATGGTCTCGATCTCCTGACCTCGTGATCCGCCCGTCTTGGCCTCCCAAAGTGCTGGGCTTACAGGCTTGAGCCACCGCGGCCGGCCTTATTTTTATTGTTATTATTTATTTACTTTTGAGACAATTGTTTCCCTCTGTCGCCTAGGCTGGATTGCAATTGCACGATCTTAGCTCACTGCAAACTCCGCTTCCCAGATTGAAGTGATTCTCATGCCTCAGTCTCCCCAGTAGCTGGGATTACAGGCATGAGCCACTATGCCTGGCTACTTTATAGTTTTTTTTTTTTTTTTTTTTTGAGACGGAGTCTCGCTCTGTTGCCCGGGCTGGAGTGCAGTGGTGTGATCTCAGCTCACTGCAACCTTCGCCTCCCGGGTTTAAGCAATTCTCATGCCTCAGCCTCCTGAGTAGCTGGGACTACAGGTGAGCACCACCATGCCCAGCTAATTTTTGTATTTTTAGTAGAAATGGGGTTTCACTATGTTGGCCAGGCTGGTCTCGAACTCCTGACCTCAAGTGATCCACCCCACTCCCAGCCTCCCAAAGTGCTGGAATTACAGGTGTGAGCTACTGCGCCTGGCCTAAGTTTTGTATTTTTAATAGATGTGGGGTTTCACCATGTTGGCCAGGATGGTCTTGAACTCCTGGTCTCAAGTGATCCTCCTGCCTCATCCTCCCAAAGTGCTAGAATTACAGGTGTGAGCCGCCACGGCCACCTGACTGGCCTGTGTAATTATAATGCAGCACAGTAAGGAGTCAAATGGAAATGTACATGTATGAGACTAGAGGATCTAAGAGGAGGGATCGACCTCAGGTCATTTTGGAGAAATAACAAGTTGTCCTGAAAACCCAAGTAAACAAAAATTCCTTTTACAAGACCATGAATATCAGCCATTAACGAATTCAAAATCGTATAGTTGGAAGAGTCATTATGAGCATCTTAACAAAGTGTGTTTGTGTGCTATCCTATCAACTTTCCTTCTAGGTCTAGTCATTGCAGTGACCACCAGTCATGTATGACCTGCTTCAACTGACAGCTGTAGTCAAAGTCCCACAGGTATGGGTTCTAGTGTTGGAGGTTGAAGAAACACTTAACATCCTTCAGAATAACTCTGCCTCTGGGCAATTTAGGTTTCAAGTCCATCTTTGGAATGACACAGAATAATCAATCTAAGTTTTCACAGGTTACGAAAGTAGTATTTTCTATTTCTGGTCTCACCTCAAAAACCTTGCATTTCCCATGACAGAATGCCAAGAAATGCAGGGCCAAGCAAGTTTTTTTTTTTTTTTTTTTTGTCTTCCATTTGGAACTAGTAAAAATGATGCCATTAGAAAGTACTTTGCAAATTAAAATATACACACACGATGTATAAATGCTAGATTATGAAAATAATTATGGTGTGAGTTATATCTTTTTGAAACTCCCCTAGGTATTCTGGTGATAGTATTCTTAATTAGAGAGATATATATGTATATTATATTGTCTTCAATACCACCATCTGGCTCCACATGTGAGAAGTGTGTGTAAGGTGCATTGGTTTTTCAAAGAAAATGAAAATATGTTTTTAACTGCTTTATCTTGTTTCCTTCTCATACATACTGAGAAACTAGCAGAGTCTTGGATACGATTAGACAGTTTTTAACGTAGCCAAACTCTCCAAAGTTGCCTCTAATGATTACTTTCCTGGAGACAGACTAGAGCATCAACTTCCATTTCCTGATGCCATAAATAATTGTCCTCAGATGACAAGTCAAATTACAAGGCCTGTGCCATCATTCATTCCACTCATTTTGTGCTAAGAAGAGTTATGCAGAAGTTGAAGTCAATAGATGACTATAATATATAGCACACTTTTTATTAACCAAATAACTTGAAAGCACTATAAATACAAAATAAAAATGGTAAGAAGTGCATGGATATAAAGCAAGGTCCATCACTGGGACCCTGTAAACAGCAGTAAAAGTCTTTGAATATTGTGGTTTACAAGTCTGATTTTAACAGCCAAACTTA